AACTTGCCTTGCTTTTGCATGTGTTTGTGGCATGTCTCGCGGGTGTGACGGGGTGCTGTCACCTTTACCTGTTCTTATCACGATTTTATAATGATTCAGAAACGCAATACTTTAGTGCTTATGATATTATGATATAGTGGGAATCACATGGTTGACTCCACCTTTATAGATGTTTTATGATTGTAGAAAGGTTTTAACGCGGATGCAGAACACGTACGAATTTCAGGGCCAATTAGGTGCTGTAGGTACAAACCATTTGACTATGGAGATCTTTTTGTCACTTTTTTTAAAACAAAAGAGAGAAAAGAGTGTTGGGGACTTTAAAGTTCCTGAAACTGATTGAACGAAATATAACCAAACAACGTTCCTTTAGTACCAACTTGCACAACCTGCCTCCCCTGACTGAAATGACAATTGACAAAAAAGTAGATTTCCTCAAACACCGATAGTTAATTTGGTTTTAAACGTTAATTTGGATGGCACGGCTTGTTATGAAATCAGAAATAACCGTTATATCACGGAATGTGTTCCTGGCAATATGTCAAATGTCTTAATGGTTCTCGATACGTCATATCTGGACGTCATTGCCCCTCACGAAGAAAACCACCGTCTGTTATATGACGCAAATCTGGACATAAAGCGTTATCAGTAACCATAACGTTTTTTCCCCTCTCAGAACTTCGAATTCTTGCTATAAGTTTCCACCGTGCGATCTTTCAGTCAGTGAGCATCCATATCAAGTACGGTAAAAGACCTTTCCATGAAGCTGGTTAGGTTTCATAACCATAACCAAGCTTGTGATTTATGATCGAAAAGATTACATATATAGGATATATGCCGAAAGTGATTTAGTAGCCCGCTTTGATGTAGAATTCATTGATCATTAATCAAGGTTTTATTACACACCGCAAAGATATGTGTGAAATAAATCATTATTTGATCAAATAAAACCCAGCTCGACTGGGATCCGTATGTACGATGTATGTGTTTGTTGCTGTGCCTTAATGAGCCATGGAGCATGCGCAATGTCTGGAATAAACCAATCCAATCAGCAAGCCATGTGGTAAACGGTGGCTTTTCTCGTGGTATCACACAGGATACAAACACGTGGGCTGGCTAACGAAAACGCCAGTTTTCAATTAAAACAATCTTGTTTTATGATAATTGTATGTTTGATACTTGAAAGCAGATCTGTGAGGAAACGAGAATTATAGTTGTTCGTAACGTGTAGAATTATATATCAAGACATTGAACAGATGCGAATCAGTTGTTCAGACCAGTCAGAGAGTACCCATTTCTGTATATATATATATATATAAGGAGAAAACGGCATTCTGTTTTTATTCATCTATGTTATATATATATATATATATATATATATATATATATATATATATATATATATATATATATATATATATATATATATATATATATATATATATATATATATCTGTGTGTTTGCTTTTAACATCGGCGTTAAACATGGCAATGTCATTGAAATAATCTGAGATAGGTTTCACGTAATTATTGTCAAAGTAACAGCTTTGGGGTTCGAATCTCATTGCCTGAGTGAGTGAGTGACAGACCGAGCCAGAGAACAAAGGAGCCTCTGCTTTTGGACACGTTCCAGCAATATCCAAATTTCTAAATAATTATACATTTCTCTCTCTGATCTGATGTTAAAGGAAACAAATCGACACATTAACCTTTTCAATATCCAAACAACGCTCTTTATCAAAAGTCGTTTCAAACGTAAGCCACTTTCTATATTTTCATTCTTTGAAATACTTCTTACGATTCTCTCTGTAAAGATGGATTCCTTAAGCATGAAAACTTTTTCCTGCTTACTTTCAAACACTATGTAACGTTTCAAAGCTTGATCAACTTGGTATTTGAACATTTAAGAAATTACATTTAAGTACGTGATTAAATAACGTTACACGTCTCTTTGTTGTGAGTGAATAAGTGAATAGTTTGTTCAGTAAGTATGAGTGCTCTGGTCTATTTAGAATTCTGTAATAATTTATTCGTTTTTGAATTTTTTAGTTTACTCCCTGTGAGTCTTTGTTTTCTTTTTAACAGTAAAATTTTTCACAATGTATTTTATGTAAATTTCAAAAGTCAAATTGATGGACCATACTGACATATGTATACAAACACTTCCACTTCCATTTAATATCATCGTTTTCACGACACACCTTCAAGTTTTGTCTCAATATGCCAGCGATATCACAGCAGGTAACACCAAAAATGGGCTTCAGATATTTTGGGAATCGGACCCGGATTTTACGCTCTAACAATTAGATTTACACACCGTCATCTCTATGGGGCATCCCAGGAAGAAAACATGCATCTGTACCCCACTGTAATATGCATCAAGTAACCTTACGACCAGGCAGTTGCAATGTGGTATCAAGCTTCTTACAATATACACTATTAAAAAAAGAAACGCATAGGTGATTTTGAGTGAGTGAGTATGGTTTTACGCCGCCTTTAGCAATATTCCAGCAATATCACGGCGGGGGACACCAGAAATGGGCTTCACACACTGTATCCATGTGGGGAATCGAACCCGGGTCTTCGGCGTGACGAGCGAACACTTTAACCACTAGGCTACCCCATTTTGAGAATATTGGACTCATGTAGCAGCGAATCAATACAAATATACTATTTACTTTCAAAACCACGTCTTTGTGTGTTTTTCAGTGCCAAAACGCGGTAATTTTAACTTTTTCCCTTGTTTTAAAACCGTTTGAAGAAATATTCGCCAAAACGTCACCAAGAAAACATGCAAAGCAAAATGAACGTGCAAGTGAGCGGAAAAGCATGCGGTATCGATCACTATAAAAAGGCAAACGTTGTGTTTAATCTTGTCATTCGTTTTTGCATGGAACAGAGGAAATAGGTGAAAGAGGTGAGAGACACCCAGTTGACTGACAGTCGATTGGCAGACACTGATCTGGAAGGTTAATTGGAGTAACACCTACGGGTATAATGGAACAGTCCACTGTGACACAAGTGACAGACATTGGCTAAGATATGTTCAACAAAAGTTCACTGAGAAAACGTTTTGTAATATGTCACTGAGGGGTGTGATTGTGTTTAATGATTGAAAGATATTTTATTCATTCTAAAAAAAGGATTGGGCACAAGTTATCTAGCTTAGAAAAAGGTCTCTCCCAATAATAGGATACGTACAACAAAAGTTAACTGAGAAAACGTTTTGTTTGAGAGATATAGATATGCATATATTTGAAAATATTCTGATTTTCAGTAATTGGGGGACCTGCATTGCCATGTAAGATAAGATTAATACCGATCTATTTTTAACAATACTTTCTAAATATTTTAACCGTTTATGTCTTTGAGGTGAGTTGAGGTGAAATTGGGTTTTACGGCGTACTTGAGAATATTTCGCTCATAGTTTATGTCTTTGAATAGTATACAATGGACATGCAAGGAAGTAATGAAAAACATTATCAAACCCATGTCCACATTGACATGATGCGTCATTCTTGACATTTATTCTTAATATATCATAAATAAGAGTACTCGTCATATATCTTAATCTTGTGTGCAAAGCATTTAACTTCTTTATTCCATATGAATAATATCTAGGTTCAGATTTTTCTTTCCATGGGAATATTATTCCACATTTTAACTGTTGATGGAATAATTTTAAAAGATGATGTTGAATACCTCAGTCTTGTACATGGTTGGCTAACATTATGGGAGTTTCTTAACTCGTAACTTGGCCGGTTCCCTACTGGAGGTTGGAGTACATCCTGAAGAGAAACTGGTGCAAGACCTTTTTGAATTGTATTATATAATGTTATATTAATTTGCATCTTCTCCTTCTCTCAGAAAGTAAATCCCATCTCGTTTTATAATACAATGAACGGGAAGATGCATATCCTGGAAGACCAGTAACTATGCAAGCTGCTTCAAGTTGGAGTTTTTCTAATCTATTAGCTTGTTCAATTAAACATCCATCCCATACCTCGCATGCGTACTTAAAATGTATACAGTATATATTTTTGCTAATGTAGGAACTTTAATTTCCGAATGCTCCAATCCTTGCAGACGTCTTTTGACAATGTTTTCAATGTGAAGATGCCAACTCCCGTTAGACTGACTGACTGAGTTTGGTTTTACGCCGCTTTAAGCAATATTCCAGCAACATCACGGCGGGGGACACCAGAAATGGGCTTCACACATTGTACCCATGTGGGGATTCGAACCCGGGTCTTCGGCGTGACAAGCCAACGCTTTAACCATTAGGCTACCCCACCGCCCCACTCCCGTTAGACGAGAAGGTTAACCCAAAATGTTTATGAAAATCAACTGTTTTTATACTGCAGCAAGTAAAATTCAAATTTCGGCCATCTTTCAAAAGAAAACACATTGCTTCAGTCTTTTCTTGTGTTTTTATTTGGACTATTCCATTATAATGTGTAGGTAACAGGTAGTAGCTAATCTGTTCATTAAACCGTAAATGTTGTTTTTAGGTGTATGCGAACTGCCTGTCTGCGAAGTTGGAGGATACTCCACATCTCGATTTTGGGATCGTTTCCAGCATACCAATTCAGCCCAATATCGCTCGAGAAGCGGCCGTCCAAGAGGGCCGCATGCCAATTAGTTGAATTTCTAATTAAAGTAGTAAAATGCAGTCGACGAACGAGCATTGTGATCATAGCTTTTAACTAGACGTTGGAACATACTCAAAAAGACGCAAGGAGTGTTGGGGCTCTCTTTATTTACATTTTGTATATAGGCCAAAATTTGACAACCAGCGAGTAAGTGTTGGGTCGTGTGACTCTCTTTATTTACCACCCAAGCCCAGGTCTGCTACATCCGGGTTGCTCAGTTGCGTCACCGTCTTGCCACAGCCGTGGATACTGCACAACGCATCCCTGGTTTGAAAAGAATTTTCGACAAAACTGTCAGGAATCGATTGCGTGAAGTGGGGATTGGACCAAGAAGACCAGTTGTCGCCCCTGTTTTGAGAGACTTCCATCGGCGCAATCACTTGCGGTGGTGTCGTAGAGTCCAGAACTGGAGCCTTAGAAACTGGAGTCTAGTTCACTGATAAATCACGATTTCCTCTCACCGGTAAGATGGAAGACAGCGTGTTTACCGTCAGAAAATGAACGTTTTGCCCCTAATTGAATTCTACAGGCCGACAGATTCGATGGGGAAGGTGTCACGGTGTGGGATGATATTTACAACACACAAAGATCTGATTCAATGGAAGTTCAGGGGAATTCGACAGCAAATCGGTACATCAACGAAGTCCTTCCTCGTCAAACGCTTCCGATTATGGACCGACAGAGGGAGTTGTTCAAGCATGACAACGCTACTTCACATACAGCTCGCGTCACTATTCGCTACCTTGTCAATTCAAACGTCAAAGTCTTGCAGTGGCCTTCTCTATTCTTATTATTACCACCAGATCTAAAACCGATAGAACATCTATAAGATGAACTCGGTGGTCGTGTACATCAACGTCAAAAACGCCTCACACACTTCCACAACCAAGTCCATTGCAAAGCAGGAAGAGTGGGGAAGAGCTCCACAAGAACGACTTCGTCGACTTATCCAATCTGTGCCGACACGGTGCCGAGCAGTAATGGTACTGACTTTGACGCCATCTTGTGGATTCAAGTAAACAGAAACATAACAATAAAGTTTGCTGTTGTGTTGGCGACTCTTTGTCTATAGACGTGTGACTTTTCATCTTTTACCATTGAAAACACATGAAATAATTGCTCTTAAACTAACGCAATAATTTTTTCTGAAAATAGCTTATGCGTTTCATTTTTTTTAAATAGTGTATGTGTCATCGAATCATGTCTGCGTGAAAAGCTTATCATGCAATCAGTCACTGACTGGTTTGACTTGTCCGGTCGTTACATATACTACAAACAAAAAGTATGGGAACACCCTAAAATTTGATGGTCAGATATAAACTTCATCGTGGTGAGGTCGTTTATACTCTTAGGTAAATGCAACTGCAGCCTAGTGCATGTGGAAGACAGACTTCTGGCGACGTTTCTTTTAAAAGAAGCTACAGACAATATTGAAGCCTCCCAACTTCTTCATCATGCCACAGCCCAGACCGTTAAGCGCCCACGACAGAAGCAGGGCCACTGCATGGTTACAGGATGGTGAATCCATAAGAAGTGTACACCGTCTTCAGGTGTCTCCCTGTGTCATTCATACACTGAGGTACAGGTTCCAGGCCACTGGTAAAGTACAGGACAGACCTCGCTCTTGAAGACCCAGAAAGACATCAAGGGCAGATGACCGATATGTTGTGCTCCAAGCCCCTCGGAACCGATTGACAACTGCCAGTGCCCAGTTGCCACAAGCTGCAAGGGAAATCTGTCTTCCACATGTACGAGGCTGTTGTGTTTGGGACTTTGAATCAAACATGGCGCTGGTGTGTTTGTCAGCACCCTTGTTTTTCGCTGTTATTGACAATGTTTGATTTCACTCAAACTCAACGAATATTGAATCAGTTGCTTCACTGCATGTTCCAACATGTCGTTTAAAGGGCCCATTAAGCACACAAAAAGTTGCATTTCCCTTAGAGTATAAATGACCTCACCACGTTTAAGTTTATAGATGACTATCAAATTTTAGAGTGTTCCCGTACTTTTTGTTTGTAGTATATATAGCTGGACACATGAGCAAAAAAATGGTAGAGTATAGATACTATTATCTTGCCTCACACATAAATGTCGCTTTCTGATTGGCTGAGCAGTCTTCTATTATTTCCAATGTACCCCGCTTACAAGCGAGTAACATTTTCTATGTACCCCGCTGGGAATGCCGAACTCATTTGGTACTTCGTAGTAGTAATACTTTATCTCGAACAACATTGAATCACGTATGATGTATGGAAATTACCGATGTTTTTCGAATGCAAATCGACCGAAGGGAGATAACTCTAAATTTGTTTTTCTTGTCTTGTCGTCTGGTACTCCATACTATGAACCGATACCCCTGCTTCAAACAGTTCAAAGTTACCAGTGAGGTGTTCGGTAAGATAAATACGTTTTCCACTGGTCCCTCGGGGCCCATGGGTTGATGTACCCTCGCCCTTCGGGCTCAGGGAACATAAACAAACATCGAGGGTACATCAGCCCATGTCCCCTTCGAGACCAGTGAACAACTTATAATATGTCATCCACGTAACCCAGTTCAGACATACCTTTAGAAATACATATGACACGTACCTGCCTGCCCCTGTATACATATGTGGCTTTGTCGGCGGTATGTGGGTACCCGGTAGACTATTCCACTAAATTCGCGTGGTGTTGGGAATTTGGCTCTTTCTAAAATACACGTGCACACATATACGCACATGGACAAACGCGCGCACAACCATAATAATACACACAGAACGTACGTATTTACGCAAAGACAAGCACGCATACACCGCAAGTACGCACACATACGCTCCCCAACATATACACAGAGACACCCACTGAACAAGACAATCCTGTTCGCCCCAAGACCAACAAGTCTTCCCACTCAGCGATCAATTCCCGATCGATAAAAGGGAAGTATCTAACTTGTGTTGTAGATACCACAAGAAATTACCTATAATTATCAAATATTCATCACATCCTACGATAATATCCCCCTCTGATAGCCGCAGGCCCACCAGGAGTATTTTCTTGATTGACGGCGGAAACGAACACGGAATAAATAGTCGTTGTACACCAGAAGCGTAGATAAAGGAGTTTGATTGATGGAATTAAGAGAAAACTAGCCGAGTTTACGTCCTCCGCGCATCAATAATACATCGTTGTCGCGCTGTCCTAATCTCCCAGGTCTAATTCGTCCGAAAAATCAACGTTTATTTCATATCTGTAATTAAGCTGGGACATTGCGTCGAGAGAATTCCGCTATATCAAGATAGATCACAAGAGTGTGCCATAACTGTAGCTTTACCATTGTCTTCATTATATAGAAATATCACATTTAACATGATATTGCGTCAACAAATGATTGATTTGCTGGGGCATATAGCAGACTTGTCGATGCCTCTACTGAAATTTGATGAATTGCCAGTAAGGAATAGTTGCTGGTCATTGAATCTATTCCTTGATTCCAGCGTTCGTTGAGATTGTCAAGACGTTTATTTTAGTGATTCATCATCACATGGGTGGCTTTTTTCGTAACAGTAATCTGTTGGATATTTATATCCAGCTGCCAACATTGAAATGGATACCTGATCGTTTATAAATAATTATCCAAATGAGAATATTTGATGTAAATGATCCTCTCTGAAAAGAATCAGCTGACGAGGGTCACCGCGTATTAAGGACAGAGCGCCTTGTCTTGTAGTGGGCGCAGCGAAGCGATGGATACAAGCTGATTAATTGGCTGTATCTACCATTGTGGAACTTTGTATGTATCGGAAGTTAATGCTTTATTATTGTATACAATTGGTTAATTTTCAAAGTAAATTGGACATTGATTCAAACATAATTCATTGCCCTGACAGATAGTTCGACTTCACTGTCAACCTTTATGATTAATTCATATTTGTTATACATTATGTATTTGAAATGTCATACGTGGAAAATAATACACACTTGAGTAGGTTTCTACGACAAGGTAATATAACCCAGGAATTATGAATCATTCCGCTTGATTGCTGGCTAGGGGAGAGCTGAGGGGTTGGCGGGGGAGGCCGAATAAACAAAAAGCGGAGGAAAATATTCGGGATGCCATGTAGTCTTTCTCACAGTCTCTAAACCGCATTATTTTCCCTTCCGCCCAGCCCTTTCTGCAAAGCTGGGGACTCTATGAAGCAAATACAGAGTCTCTCAGGTTCTGAATCTCTCATCTGACTGAGGCGCCTTTTCAATTTAAAAGGAATTGTTTGTTTCTATAAAAATTATGTATTCAGAGACAAAGCGATAGTCTTGCTGTCGTTGTACAGAGCAACCTCTGCGCCACTGTCGTAAGTCTGTGAGACTATAGCTAACACTGCTTTGTAAAACGGATCTCACGTTGTTGTCTGAGATTTCTGAGGAAAGCTAGGTTACTGTGATGAAGGTGATGTGAATTTGGATTTAACGTCGTGCTTGAGAATATTTCGCTCCTATGACGACGTGCATACGTGTGTGCGGCTGCTTGTACTAGCCCTGGTTTTATAGTGCTAGCCCACTGAGATACCCTGCTGCAGTGAAGCATGAATACCCCACTCAGACACATTATACTGACTCCGAGCCGACCAGTCCTTGTTGTACCCATTAACGCCGAGCGCCAGGCAGGGACCAACAAGTTACATATTTTAACGTCTTTTGGTATGACGCGGTCGGGGGGATCGAACCCGCGACCTTCCGCTGTCCGGGCGGACGCTCTAACCACTAAACCACGGAGGCGGTCTACTGTGATGAACCCCATACAAACGGCTATCGTCGGATTGTATGTTATTGAATGTCATTAGGTTTTCGGGGGCAGTTTGTACTCTCGCTATAACGAGGCAGGTTGCGTTACAAATGCATTGCAAATACTCGAATGATGGTTGTTTTTAAGATTAAGTTGTCTTTAATAAGTGAGTGAGTAAGTTTAGTTTCACGCCGCTTTTAGAAATATTCCAGCAATATCACGGCGGGGGACACCAGAAATGGGCTTAACACACTGTACCCATGTGGGGAATCGAACCCGGGTCTTTTGCGTGAAGAGCGAACGCTTTAACCACTGGCCTACCCCACCGCCCCCTGTAATAAGTTAGTGGCATGTTTTACAATTACACATGTTTTACAATTTTGCCTTTTATCTTTCAGAATAGTAATTTATTTATTTGTCCTTTCAAGATCAACATGACATAATGATTCATGCCTTTCAAAAATCACAAATCAGATGCATAAAAGACCCGACACGTAACACGGACCGCGATATTTGTCTCTTGTAAAACCATCCGACAGACAAGGTAATATGTTCCAGCACCACTGAAGACAAGGGTCTAGATTTCTTTACGAGAACTAAGATGAACAGACGTGTCCTTACCGCTCCCCTGACATGAATAAGCTAAAAAGAGAGGGGGTAGTTCAAGCCCCCTGGCAGCCACCCCTACCATGTGTTGCATCTCGGCTGTAGTGCTGTAGGCGTCTTGGGTCGCCTCTAGCAGAGCAGAAAGGGAATACTTGACGAATTAGACAAGCAATAGCTGGCCTTCAAAGCAGGCTGTAATTGAGTTAAGCAACCGTATCCCTTTTGTTCATCAATTATTGTATAACATCAAGAACGACTCGCACCAGAAGAACAATTAAGACACTACAAACCAAATATCGAATTTCTGCTTCAAAGTACTTTTGATCTAGAGGATTCCAATTTTTTTAAAGAAGAAACAGAATAATATGATGACGCGAACTGTCAAAATGCTTAGCATTGGAACTTTGTTAAGATTGTATGACGTACTAAGAAATGGTTATCGTTTTTCGACTCCCTGTATGATCTCTTCACACCAAACAGGCAGTCGGGAAGAAAATTCCTTTCATACCTTGAAACTTCGTAGCATCTGCCTTAACAAGAGCTAGAACTCGTTGGGGAGCAGCTCAAAATCGGATTTGTAATAAAAGTATATGAAGCATTAACTTCCGATACATACCCCCACAAAGATAAGAATGAAAATAGTTCCATCCTCAAAGAGCTTTTCAAAACGATGGGTACAGAAACCATATTACCATTTGATAAATTTAATAAAATTTATCTGAACATAGAACAACAAAATTATGGAGCAACATCAATAAGCACCAACCCGCCAAGGATGGGTTGGCTTTGAACTAACTGACTGTCTCTTGCATCTGTTCATCTACGCAAATTTCATTGAAAATAGAATTACTCTTCGTTATCAAAGGGAAATTATGATAATTATAACTGTTACTCATTGTCTTGAAGGGCAAAATCCCTTAAGTTTTGGTGACCATCCACCAACTCCTTGCTCAAGGACTTCAGAGTTTTATCTGATAATATACCTTTGAAGTGTCCTCCTGGCTTGTTCTTTACAGTGGTTTAAGTTATTTAACGTTTTTAATAAAGAAACGTTAAAAACATGTATAGAATATATTATCTACAAACCTGCATGTGCGAAGGAACTGAGTGTAAAAGGCTCACCCTAAAACGCCAACAGATTAAACAAAATGTGTTAATTGAAACATATCATAAGCCTTCATTAAACGTCAACGATGCGACGTATAACCAGTTTGAAACCAGTACGTAAGAATGACTGCGTTGAAGCGCGCCACTTATTTACAACAATCGTGAAACAAGATATATCGCACAACGGTTAATCTTGAACACATACAGAGCTTGGACCTCATTGTTGAATGTTTTTGACAATAAATTAACCATCTTTATTTACAAAAATTAAAAATATTTCAAAGTCAAAATTATTATGGAAAATATACATACATTACAGTCCATTGCCGAATTGAAAGTAAAATTCTTGCATGCACACGAACACGAGAGATAGTTGGTTAGGGACAAAAATATCTTCGCCATGACTCTCCTGAATTCTTATTTCTTTGGAATCCGCTGCCATAGTGATATCTACAGCAAAACTGTTTCCCCTTCATAGTGACCTACGCTAAGAATGGAGCGACTGGTGCTTCGCCTCCTTTTTCCTGGAATTGGTAGTATGACTGTGTGAATTCCGTAGTCCTGGAATTCAAAGTGTCGATCTGTGGTAAGTACCGTAGGTCGGATCAGAATAGCCCAAACACTAATTTTACATTTGGCAAGAGGTGCTGTATTGCCTTGGTTGTGCCAGGGGAATAGGGGATAAGTGTATCGACTCGAATACCCAATATACTCTTGAGAATAATCATGTACAAGCTTAAATGTGACATGTAAATTTGTTGTGCTTATGTTTCGAGTCGCCATGGCAACATATATATTCACAGTGTGGTGAGCAAAGAATAATATCTGACCTAATGTGCTAGTTGAGACAGTGTCCAGTTCATATGAGTCAGTTCTGCTACTCAAAAAAGAAGTTTAGAACCACCTTATATATTATTTCACACTCTGTCTGCCGCGATTAGCAATATCCCAGCAACGTCAACACGGGTGAAGTCAGCAACGTCACTGGTGAAATCAGAAATGGGCATTAGACGCTGCACCAAGGTGTGGAATCGACCAACAAAGTCACTACACCGCCATGTTGGCTTTTGTAAGTACATTGTATGTAAAACGTGCACGCTTAGCAGATCCATGCTGCATGACGTACGCCTATTTTGCAAGACGTACGCGTGCATTTATTTACGTATGTTCATGCTGCTTGCCGTACCCAGTATTGAATGAAAGCCACAAGTGAGGGAATATGGTTTTACGCCACTTTTAGCAATATTCCATCAATATCACGAGTGAGTGAGTGAGTGAGTGAGTGAGTGAGTGAGTGAGCCAGAGAACAAAGGAGCCTCTGCTTTGGGATCAGTTGCTAGTAAAAATCCAGTCGGGTCAGTAAATCTCCAAGTCACTGGCCCGACTGACTAGTGACCTTTATGGGGTCATATTTTAATATATCACTCTCTCCTACTTGTTAAGTTATAATGCACTTTTAAATCATGCAAAATTATGACCTGATAAATGATGGTATTTGAACTTTTTTGTAACATTTTGCTGAGTTTCTACATTCATATTTGGGGTTAGTGAATTATTTAGCGGGCTAGTAATTTTCAGGCATAGCTAGCCCGACTGACAAGTAAAATTTGGAAACTATTTCACTCATTGTTTGGACACGTTCCAGCAATATCCAATTTCTAAATAACTATACATTTCTCTCTCGACTCTGATATTAAAGGAAACACTTCGACACATTAACCTTTTCAATATCAAAACAACGCTCTTTATCAAAAGTCGTTTCAAACGTAAGCCACTTTCTATGTTTTCGCTCTTTGAAATACTTCTTACGATTCTATCTGAAAAGACGGATTCCTTAAGAATGAAAACTTTTTCCTGCGTACTTTCAAACACTATGTAACGTTTCAAAGCTTGATCGACTTGGTATTTGAACATTTAAGAAATTACATTTAAGTACGTGATTAAATTCCGTTACACGTCTCTTTGTTGTGACGCTCGGCGGTCTTTGATATCAAATAAACACTCAAATGATTGAAATAGCAGCTCAAATAACCAGCATCTTAAATCACCCTTCGTGCAAGATACAATAAGAAATCCCGGAGATCTGCCTTCCGTCCGTTGGTCATTCTAACGGGCGTTTTTGACGACAAATGACATAACTGTTTTCACTGTTAAACCCTTTTAGCATGAATCATTGACCTGTTTTGGGAACAGGTGTCTCTCGGAATTCAGGAAATCCCCCATTCTCGCTTGATCCTTACATAATTTGCCCAATCACACTCTCAGTCCCTGGGTAATTAGCCAGCAAGAAATGGCAGGCTGTGGCCGAGGTTAAACAGGGGATAACGGGAGCGTAAATCCATCACAATTAAATTTGTGGGGCTCGGGGTGGACGTCGCGGTAAGGAGCTGGATATAAAGCGATCCCTCTGCTGCCGCTAAACGCGGAGAAGCCATGGCCAAGTAAATCACTGTTGTAATCCCACTATCGGGTAAAAGCCGTTAAAACACGGCAGATTAGTTTGAAAACAACGAGTCTGGTTTTTGAAAGCTCAAGGGTTTTAAAACAACTGAATTAAAACCTCCATTAAATAGAGTGAGTCATTGATGACATGCCTTGCCTAATGACAGAAGTGAGGTTCTATTTCCGGGACAGGGTTCAAGGAGATATGGAAATGGTGTCCCTCCTTGATGAAACGAGAAAACAATTTTACTTTTAGATTGCGATAATTAGATTCTTGATCTGAATCAAAAACACTTCGTCAGAGGTAATCAAATATTCATCGATTTGTCACATAATACACGTTTTTGTGGGGGGTCCCTTTTTATACTATGGTGTATTTTTTCGGAATCAATTTCGTCTTTCAAAGGAAACCGATGAAACGGAAGTATTAACATGTAAGAGGTGCGGATTCAGATCAGTATGTATATAAAACCGTTAACGTTCTCGTGGCGTAAAAACTATAGGAGCATCCTCATCCTATTCGTTATACAAAACGAGGGAGTGTTTGAATAACTGAATGGATGTTTGGCCACCTACATTGGACTATGATCAAAGGCACCTGTTTAAATGAACAAGTTGTCTTATGGCTTTGTTCCGTTTTATCGGATCGTTATATGTTTTTGTGCATTATCAAAAAAGTCGAATACAACGCTGAACGTTTCATCAAGTCCTGAGAGTTTAAAAAACAAGCGTCACAAGTGTTCGATCTTTTCACTGACAAGGGATGTTTTATAATGGTTTAAAAGGACCTTCTTTGAA